ATCTGAAGTTGCAGTAATGATATCATGAGCGTGTCTTGTGAAGGCATATTGACAGGCAAGTTTGTTCCTGAGCGAGATGTTAACCAATGGTCTGTATCAATAGACAACCCAATTCAAGAACTCCTATTCAAAAATTATCGTCAATTAAAATGAACAGAAAACATGTTGTGTAGTTGTTCTAACAGAATTAATGTTGGAGATTACAATAAACTTCAGCCAATCTGATCACATTATATTGACTTGGATGGGGATAGGACAGAATATCTTTAGATCTTGTGGAGAAAAAAACCTAGATCCTAGGATTTTTAACAGGCTTCTAAACCATTCTCATATTACCCAGCAATGTTACCTGATTATTAATAAACAACAACCTATACCATCTTTAAGATAGGGGCTTCTTTCGTTGAGACTCACTTTGATCACAGAAAACTATCCCAAAGCCAGGCTGTTTCCAAAAACATACAGCATAACCTGCCTCTCAATTCCAGACCCTGATCCTAACAAGACATGTCAACTCTTTGATGATGTTGTATGATGTGCAGATAGTGGATCTGAGTTATAGTGCTACGAATTAGGAACAGGAGTAGGCCATGCCCCATTCCTCTTGCCCTTCATCCAAGTAATATATGTAAAGTGTACAAGTTCTGGGCCCAGCATTGATCCCTATGAAATACCACTTGTTACCAGAAAATGACTCTTTTACGCTTACTTTTTGCATCCTGTTAGCTAGTCAATCATCTATCTATGCCAAAATGTTACCCCTACACTATGAAGTTTTATTTTCTGAAGTAACTTCTGATGTAACATTTTATCAATGCATTCTAGAAATCCAAGTACAGTACATCTACTATGTACTTTTTTCCACAGTACATGTTAATTTTTCAAAGAACTCGACTAACTTGGTTAAACATGGTTTCTTTTTCGCTAAATCATGATGACTCTGCCTGATTACCCTATTTTTTTTCTAATGTTATAATGTCTTTGATAATAGCTTCTAACATCTTCCCTATGCAGATGTTCAGCTAATTGGCCTGTGGTTTTCTGCTTTCTACATCTTTCTCTTTCTGTGTAAAAGAGTTACATTTGCTATTTTCAAATCTAATGGAATTTCCCCATAACTTGGGAATTTTGGAAAATAAAACCAATGTATGAGCAGCTCATTAGCCAATTCTCTTAAGATCCTAGGATAACATTCATCAGGATCCAGAGACTTGACAATCTGCAACTCCAGCAATTTGTTCAGTACCACTTCCCTGGTGAAAAAAAGGAGTTTCTTAAGTTCTTCCCTCATTTCCAGATTTGCGATATTCATGGGATATTATTTGTATTCTCTATAATTAAGAACAACACAAAATATCTGTTTAGTTTATTTGCCATCTCCTTGTAATCCATTATTAATTCCCTAGACTTACTTCCTATAGGAACAATGCAGCACGGAGGCTCAGTGGTTAACACTGCTGCCTCTCTGCACCATGGCTCTTGGGTGACTGTCTGCGTGGAGTTTGCACATTCTTCCCATGTTGCCTACCACAGTCCAAAGATGAGCAGCTTAGGTGGAGTGGCCAGGCTAAATTGCCCATAGTGTCTGCTGATGTGCAGACTATGTGGAAATGTTGGGTTACAGGGATAGGGTAGCGGTGCATCAGGGTGAGATGCTCTTTGTAGGGTTGGTGTGGACTCGATGGGCCGAATGGCCTGCTTCCACACCGTAGGGATTCTGTCAATGCTCGTCTCGTTATCTCTTTGCTGTTTGAAATATCCATCGAAACTCTTACTAGCTGTTTCTACATATCTGGCTAGATTTTACTTATAATCTCATTTTCTCTGGCCTTATTAATCTTCTAGTCAATTCTGCCTGCGTTTCTTTAAAATATTCTATCAAATCTTCTGACCTGACACAATTTTATACGTTTTCTTTAAGTTTGATATCATCTTTAATATATTTCATTAACCATGGATGGTCCGTTTGTCCCTTGAAATGTTTCTTTCTCGTTGGAATGTATCTATTTGGTGCATTCTGAAATGTTCCTTAAATGTCATTAACTGTCTGCCAGTCTATCTTAGTGACCTATCGTTTCATCTAATTTGCAAGTTCAGTTCAGCCAACTCTGCTTTCATGCCCTTACAACTGCCATTATTTAAGATTAAAGTATTAGATTTGGATCCACTCCTCTCCCTCAAATTGAATGCAAAATTCAATCATATTATGATAGTAGCTACCTGGAACATGTTGACTATGAGGTAATTAACAAATTCTATCTCATTGCACAATACTGGGTCTGGTACAGCCTGCTCTCTGGTTGGCTCCAGTGTATTTCTAGACAATACATACATTAAAATTCTCCATGATTATTGCTGTACTTTTCTGACAAACTCCACTACTCCTTCCTTTATAATGCATCCAGCTGTGTGGCTACTTTTTGGGAACTTGTACAACACTCTCACAAGTGACTGCTTGACTTTATCATGTCTTATCTCTACCCAAGCTGCTTGTACATCCTAGTTTTCTGGCCTTAGGTTATCCCTTTCTATTGTGCTAAAATCATTATTAATTAACAGAACTGCCCTTGCATCTTTTCCTCAGTTTATGTTCTTCCTGAATTTCGTGTATCTTTCAATATTCAGGTCCTAATCTATGCCATTCTGTAGCCGTGTCTCTGTAATGCCTACGGGATTGTACTTATTTATACCTATTTGCACTATCAATTCATCTAGCTTGTTTCAAATGCTATGTGCATTCAGACACACAGCCTTTAGTTTAGCTCTGCTACTATTTTTGTAACCTTTAGCCTTAGATACTAATTTACTCTTAAGTTTGTACTATTTAGACCCACTTTTCATAGCCTGTTTATCATTTCCCATATTAATACCTTTCCCTCTTGCCTTGTCTCTACTCACTGATTTACCACATTTTCTAAAATTTGATCGCTTGCCCCATTGTTTATCGTCTCTATTTCCCCAGTGATACATTTCACCAGAACACTGGTCCTAACGTTGTCAGGACTGGACTGTCCTAACCAGTACCCAACATTCCCAGTTATGGTGTTGGTATCACCGTATCAGTCTTTGAGCCTCATATTCTTTTTTCGAATCTTACGCGTCCTATGCCAATTTGTATGTGGCTCAGGTAATAATTTAGATATTATTATCTTTGCGGCTTTGCTTTTAATTTTGTGCCCAACTCCTCATACTGACTACACAGAACCTCTTTCCTTGTCTTGTCTTTGGTACCTAAATGGACCTCGATGATGGGATCCTCCTGCTCCCAACGTAAATTCCATGATCATATCGAATGACAAAGCAGGCTCGAAGGGCCAAAAGTTTCCTATTTTCTATGTTTCTATGTAAATACTTACTGCTCTCTATCTCACTGGCACTCAGAAGCTCCCACATGCTGCAGCTGTGACATCACACCTTTACTGCCATTTTTAATGTATTTTTATTAGCTGTTTAATTGTTATATTCAATTATTTATTTTCCTTCTTATATTTTATTAATTTTACCATCAAATCATTGCTATATTTATCCTTCGCAATGTGACAGACCTTAACCACTTACCAGATACTCACTAAAGAGCTACCTACTTCCCTTGCAATAGAGTCAGAACCAATGCCTACAGAGTGAAGCAGTTTAGAAAAACCAAAGAAGCATCTCTTCCCCCTCTTCCCCCGACTGCCTCACTCAATACCCGATACTCTGTTCAAATTTTCACTCAGTGTTGAGTCATAGTTAGATGTCTATATTTGTATGCTCTGAAAGTAATAAATTAGATCAACTCCTGGTACAGTTTAAACTAGTTTCTTTACTTTAACTTGCACTGCTCCCTAATAGAGAGCTTGAATATTCTTCCTTAAGCCCAAAGGAAGTTTAGAATTTATACAGTACAGTTTGGTTAAACATTAAATACAAACAAACAAAAATTGTTTAAAAGATATAAAGCTTCTCCTCACTTTCCAAACTTACAGCATTCTATTCAAAGACACATACTGTGCTAAGCTGTAGAGGGGTGCCTGGATTTCTTTGTTAATTACAGGTTACACTGAGCTCTGAATCAAACAAGGTCTACAGGTACATGCATGAAGATTGTGCAGATCTTCACTCCTCGGTTATCTTAACGTAAGGAGACAACCAGTGTTGCTGCTTTTAATATCAGAAACATTTCATACCATTTTTTAATGTTCCCTTGAGGTTCCACCTTAATTTTATCTCCAGTTGTAGTTATACAAGGCTTACTGAGAGCCCCAAATCATGTGAATTACTTGCCTCCTGGCTTTATGGGACTTGGCAGCTAGATTTCTTCTAGAATCAGGTTTGATACGGCCTCTCTCACAATAGATACTACTGAATTAATACAAATACCTTAACAGAACCTTTCAAACCAAAATTCTCATGGTCACCCTTAGACCTGCAGTTATTAACCACATCAAGTTTACTCTAAGTGTTGCGTATGAAATGAGGTCTGACTGCCTCAATAAGAGTACTCTTTAGAATGACTTCCATTTTTCAAATGTTATGAGTTGAATGTGTAATGACCAAAACTATAGCAATTTGCCCACACTGAATCTTAGCCAAACTTTGACTTTCATAATGTAAGAGACACACCATTTACATATTCATGTTCACACCTTAATTCTCATTGTAGTCGAATGAACTGAAAAAGGAAAAGTAAACCTTTAGTACTTGTTCATCGCTCTTATTAAACAATATGCTTTCCAGAACGTAGGAAGACCATAGGATAAATTTAGTCTGTTAAGACTCAAATAAGTTAAGGTCAACTACTAAGTAAATACATTTGTTACATCAAATAGTAAATACAGCAATTATTACATCTGCTGTTCCAAGCAAAAGAAAAATGGAATGAGTGTTTTGCAACTTTTGGAAATGAACTTCAACTGTTTTGTGATCTTACCTGTTTCTGGAATATCACACTTGTGAGGTCAAGATTTTTTTTGTCTCTTCTAGGTAACCTACAAAATAACTTATATTAAGCCATCACTTACCTGGTGATAATAGCTAAGTGTGGGGGACTCATACAGGCTCCCATAAATAGTACCACATTTTCATGTCGAGTTTGTCTATATGCCATCACTTCCCTTTTGAAAAGTTTTAGATGGTCCTCATTGTCCCTTTCAATATCAATCAAACGGATTGCTACCTCTCCATGCCAGCGACCATGATAGACTTTGCCGAAGCGTCCTTTGCCTATGAGTTCTCCAATTTCTAGTTGCTCAAATGGAATGTCCCATTCCTGCAGGAAAATGCTGGTCTGACTTGCTTTTCGTGGAAAATTACGTGCAGATAGCAATGAAAGGTTCATCTCTTCAAAATCATCTTCGGAACCATCAGACTTATAAGCTTCATCATTTGCATCTTCATTCTAAGAAAACAAGAAGAGTTTCAATCAATTAAGCATTTTTTACAATGTGTTTCTTGCTTCTAAGGAAAATCACAGTTAACCACACAGAACTCATGATTACCTTCAAAACCGTATAATGTTTCTAAAGAGTAAATGCAAAATGTTCCACACAATGACAGCCAGTTCTCCAATTCAATCTGAAGAAAACTTTTGTCTTTCATTACATAGAAACACAGAACATTGGAGCAGGAGTAGGCCATTCGACCCCTTGAGCCTACTCCACCATTCAATACGATTATGGCTGATCATCAAGCTCAATACCCTAATCCCACCCTCCCCCATATCCCTCAATTCCTTTTGCCACAAGAGCTATGTCTACCTCCTTCTTGAAAACACAATGTTTTGGCCTCAACCACTTTCTGTGGAAGTGAACTCCGCAGGTTCCTACTTTCTGGATGTAGAAATTTCTCCTTATCTCAGTCCAAAAAGTTTTACCTCTTATCCTTAAACTATGAGCCCTAGGTTCTGGAATTACCATGTCTATCAATTCATTTCAATCTCCCTCATGCTTTTCTCTATATTCATAACAAAATTGTGAGGCTGACTTCAACTAAACAGACTCAAGAAGGTGGCTCACAACCACCTTCTCAAGGGTAATTCAGGATTGGGCAACACATCACGGAGGCAAAATCCAACGAAACAATAAAAATAGTCTTGAAATGCAGAAGTGAAGCTTTGGCATTCATCAGAAACCATAATTATGAACAGGTGTTCAGCTTTACTTACTATTTTATATCATTTTGGTTATGTTTCAATGTAAACATCTAAATTCTTAGTCATTTCTGAGCCAGCACCAGCTGTCTACACAGATGCTGATCCTAGTGAATATCAAGTTCTTGATATGAAATGGCATCCATGTGCTGATCACAGAAGGATGTTGTTGATTAGTGCCATAACTGTTTATTGAAAAACGTTCCACAGTTGATTGCCAAGCTACAAAAGGGGTACAGTGGCGTCATATGAAGTAGTAAGGGAAATTTCACACTTGCAACATGGAGATGCTGTTTTATCAGTGGTGTGGCATACCAGGAGGTAGAATTAGAAGTTAGAAGCACTTTCTTCCCAAGAGTCGCTCCCATTCTACTCAACGGAGAAATTAAAAAGACAGCAAAGAACATTGGAAACAATGCAATCATATGGCAGACAGAGCATTGTATTTGTGAAACACATTGTGAGTTGACAATGCAGCAGCTAAGGGTGGGCTATTCATGAACTTCCCAAACAAGCAACGATGTTCACCATTACAACCCCAATTTTCCCATTTACCACCATGCTGGGTCCAGTGCAGAAAACAGATCAGCTACCTGCTCTGATCCATTAGGGTAAGTATCAGATTCATAGTATGAGGAGAGATTGACTAGGTTGGGATTGTTTGCTCTGGAGTTCAGACGAATGAGGGGGGATCTCATAGAGACTTATAAAATTCTAACAGGACTGGACATGGTAGATGCAGGAAGGATGTTCCCGATGGTGGGTGTGTCCAGAATCAGGGGTCACAGTATGAGGATTCGGGGTAGACGATTTAGGACAAAGATGAGGAGACATTTCTTCACCCAAAGAGTGGTGAGCCTGTGGAATTCATTACCACAGGAAGTAGCTGATGCCAAAACATTGAATGTATTCAAGAGGCGACTAGATACAGAACTTGGGGGTGAATGGGATCAAAGGTTATGGGGAGAAAGCAGGATTAGGCTGTTGAGTTGGACAATCAGCCATGATCGTGAAGAATGGTGGAGCAGGCTCGAAGGGCCGAATGACCTCCTCCTGCTCCTACCTTCTACGTTTCTATGTTTCTACAGGGGTCACATTTAGAATTAGGATCACAGCACAGAAACATCATAGCAGTCGCTGAGGAAGAATGAGACAGTCCAGTCCCCTGGCACAGATGCTAATCAGACTCCTCCTCCTCACAGGGAGATGGAGGAGTATCGGCAATGCCAACTGGCTTGTAATCCAGAGACCTAAACAATTATGTGGAATATTGGTTTAAGATTCACAACTACTGGAGGAATTCAAGTTCAATTAATTTGGGGACGTGATGATATAGTAGTATTGTCATGGCACTGGACAGGGGTTCAACTCCAAACACAACAGATGGTGAAATGGGTAACCATGTAACCATTATTGATTATTGTCAAAACCATCTGGTTCACTAACGACCTTGAGGGGAAGATAAAAGGTCCTTATCTAGACTGGCCTACATGTGACTCCAGACCTACAGCAGTGTGGCTGGCTCTTAACTGCCTATTGAAATGGCCTAGCAAGTCAGTCAGTTGAAGTGGCAATATATTGGTAATGAATTCTAGTTCAGACAGTGATATTCACATGCCCCATGGACAAATAAACAAAAATCTGGAACTAAATGCTAGCCTCAAAATGGTATCAAGAAATAATGAATTGTTTTAAAACTGTATCGGGTTCACACTTAATATTCCTGCGGGAAGAAAATCTGCTATTCCCCCCATCTCTGCATGGGTTTTCTTCAGGTGCTCCGGTTTCTGCCCACAGTCCAAAGATGTGTCAGTTAGGTGGATTGGCCGTGCTAAATTGCCTCATAATGTCCAAGCATTTGCAGGCTAGGTCGATTAGTCATAGGAAATGCAGGGCTATGGGGACAGCACTGGGTGGGGGGAGGAGGGGGGAGGAGGAGGAGGAGGAGGGAGTGGCTCTGGTTAGAATGTTCTTTGGAGAGTCAGTGCAGATTCAACGGGCTGAACGGCCTCTTTCTGCACTGTAGGGATTCTATGATTCTATGCATCTGTTCAAAAATGTTATTACGCAGCTTGAGCTGGTTGGACTTGAATCCTGGCCTCCTGGTCCAGAGGTAGGGCATTACCTTGACACCACCAGAGCCTGTTTGCCTTCTATTATGCACTTCCTGGATGGTCAAACCTTCAATAACCTCCATTCTAGTGCTGCTTTCTGCTAATGTTGTGGCCTCAGTTACTGATTGGCATGAGTCCTCCTTGTCTCTCTCTTCTGCTCCTGAGGCTGTACGAATATATACTGCATGATACATATTTCAGCAATCAAATTGTGTGAAAAACAGATAGTGATATGAGAGCATGCGTGTCTATGGATTTCATTGAAAGAATTAATGACCATGAGCTTTCCCATTCCTTCCATGTCTACATCCAAACTGAAAACACTCCAAACTGGACTCCTCCTTCTTTAATTTCTAAACCAGGACCTGAACCTGCCTTTGGAGGCATTGTGAAGATGGTACATGTCAGTTTTATGTTAGAACCTGTTAACCTCCACAACTCTCCTGTCACATTCACACTTTTTCCCTTGCCCTTGATCTGCTCAACACCACTTTGCATCTTCTCTATATATTATATCAACGTCCTCCCATTACCCTGGACTCTGTCACTCTCCAATATCAAATCCTTCCTGTGCCAACATCTGTCCCTCTTGGCATTCCCACTCTGATCACAGACCCTCCCCTCTGCAAACTTTGTGTTTTTGTCATATCTCGTAACTCACCCAAGAGACCTTCTGTTATCCCAACTGTAGTCTGGATCTGACCCCCACCCCACTAGATTAAATGCTCTTCCCTGACTGTGAAGGTTCCCTTTGCCAGCCAACACCCGTGTTACACCTGCCATTTGGACAATACTGACCCAACACGTTAACCCCCTCATTTCCATGACCTCAACTGACAGTTTCCACCAAACTCACAGCGTATCCAGGGTGCCACACTCTTCCCACTTTACTCCTCCTTCCCCTTCCTCCCAACGACCACGTCCAATGCACCTCCCTGCCCCCACCCCCAAATCACTCTTGCAGATTCTGAGCTTCCACGCAGCATGTCCTTTTCTTGCTCCTCCATTATGCCACAGAGTTTGGAAAAGGAAAACTGCTGATTGCAGACACATCTACCCAAATCCCACGGTTGCACGCTACCTTGAACTGAACACAAACTGGTTGCCATGAGTGTTCCGTGCACCACAGACTTAATGTTGAAGCTAGGACTTAAATCTCAAATAATTGTGAGATAATGCATGGCAGGCAAATGTATGAAAGGTAAAAACTTGACACAGGATGGTGAGAGGCTGAAACAGCCACTACCACTGCCACTCTGCTGACATCATCTCTACATCTCAACCTGCCATCTGGAAACCTAGTTCCCATGTAATTAAGTCATCTTGTCCATCACAGTTCCTGCCCTTTACCGGCCTCATAAAATACCAATACTTCAGGACAATTTCAGAAATGTTCCTCTTTTGTACCAGCTGCCATCTGTAGCCAAAGAACAAAAAAGGTTTCCTGATGTCTGCTTCCTTGTCAGATCCACAATGAAATAGCAAATCAAGATCTCTCATCTCATGCATCTAAATTGTTTTTCATTAAGGCTCTGCTTTTTTTGACCAAATGTCATCTTGATCGCTTCTTTTATGTCAATTTCACTTTTGATTTGGTTTCATGTTGAGAAAGAATTGTGAGAAAAATATATATTTAATTCTTTTGTCTGTTGTTTCAATGACCTGCTTATTTTAATGCAAAATTTATGTTGAATGGGATACGATTACGCTAGAAGAGCAGTTAGAACAATTTCACACAAATACATTAATGTACCTTGCCCTGTGCGTGTTTACTGACCATTAAGACCAGTAAATTCCAAAACCATCCTCACTCTCAAACATATTGTATGAGTTGTCACTTAACCTGTTGATTTCTTGTCAATTCCACCTTCGTGTGAATAAGCTCAATTTAGGGAATGCATCAGTTCTTTAAGTTAGTAACCTTCCTGCCCAGAGGACACTGTGTGCTGGCTGAATCATTAGCAACCAGCACAAGAAGCTTTTTAAAACTGTGATGTCTTACTTTACACGCTTGAAAACAGACTTCCTGCGTCAATACTGCGTGCTCATTTCTTTACAATCTCAATTAAGCAGTCATTCTTGGTAATAGGAGATTTCTGAATTTTACAATGTCAAATGATATACCATCACATTGATGGAGCTATCCCCATATTCTGGGCTATTAATTCTCAGGAGCCTGAAGGTAGGGAACCAGCAATCTAATTTAAAGCACATTTCTGATATGGCTACAGTTGTTAATATAAATCAAGGCACTTTTACAAACTTTTGCCAGCTCTAGATTTTCTATAAACCTTCAAAGAAACCAGCGGATGTCTTGTCGAGTTGTTCATTGATAGTCTTGAACCTGGAGCACGGTTCTGATGTTTTACTGCTCTAATAGGCAAATCTAGGTAATTTTAGTGATTTAGAATTTATTGAAGGTTAGTAATAGCACCATGGCAACTCCGTGTAAATTTCAGGATACAGAATAATGAAAACCTTTCTATTTTGCAGATCATTTTGCATCTTAACAATTGTACTGCAGATATCACATACTGGATGTAACAAATGAACGCAAGACCCTTTAAAAAAGTATTTCAGAATTTCCATAGACTTTCTGCTAGTGAACTGAAGGTCCAGCTGCTGTAAGCCAATAGATGTGTTATCAACCAGTGTGTTGGCACAAGTATGAGGACACAGGAAGTATGTTAGAAATTAAGCAGGCTTTTGTATGCACATCTAGCACATGTCCTATGCTCATACTGGCTTGAATGTTGAACGTTTTACAAGGACGTTTTATAAGCAGAGTTTAAAAACTTGGCTGGAATTTTCTAGGTCCATTGTGGTTGGGTTGGGAGGCAGGAGGTCTAGAGAAATGGCAAGGGAAAGTGTCAGAAGGAGAGCCTAATGTCCTGCAACTGCCACAGTTTATTGCCAGTGGGAGTTTGCACATTGCTGTGATGAATAAAATGTGGGAAAACATGAGGTTATGCACTTTGGCAGGAAGAACAAAGGAGCTGAATATTATTTAAATGGAGAAAGACTGCAAAAAGCTACAGAACAGCGAGATTTGAGTGTTCTCATTCATGAATCATAAAAAGCTTGTATCAGATTCAGCGGATAACAGGGAAGGCAAATCAACTGTTCATCTTTATTTCAAAGGGATTGGACTATAAAAGTAGGGAGGTCTTGCTAAAATTTTACAAGGCACTATTCAATCCTCAGCTGGAATACTGTGAACAGTTTTGTGCCCCTTATCTAAGGAAAGATATACAGACAATGGAGATACTCCAGATAAGGTTCACGAGGCTGATATCAGATATGGAGGGATTGTCTTATGAGGAGATGTTGAGTAACTCGAGCTTGTACTCATTGGAATTTAGAAGAATGAGACAACCTTATTGAATCATACAAGGTTCTTCGGAGATTTGACAGATTAGAAGCAGAGATGTTATTTTCCCATGTGGGAGAGGTTATAACCAAAGGGTAAAATCTTAGAATAAGAGGTTACCTATTTAAGACAGAGATGAGGATAAAATTTCTTCTCTCGGGGGTAAGTGAATTATGGAATTCCTCACTACAGCAGGCTGTGTCATTAAGTATATTCAAGGCTGAGATAGATTTTTAGAGAATCAAGGGTGATAGGGAAAAGGCAGGAGAGTGGAGTTGAAGCTTATCAGATCAGTAATGATCTCAATAAATGGCAGAGCAGGCTCAATGGGTTGAATGGTTTACTTCTGCTCCTACGTCTTACGGTCTTACGGGTGATAACCGAGCCACTTAAAGTGGTCAATTAAGGCCAAACTCCTTTCTCTGTAAGTAGTGTGCATGGAGAGGCAATGGCCTAGTGCTATTATTGCTGGACTGTTAATCCAGAGACCCAGATAATGTTCTGGAGACCCAGGTTCGAATCCTGCCAAGGCAGAATGTGGAATTTGAATTCAATAAATATCTGGAATTAAGAGTCTAATGATGACCATGAATCCATTGTTGATTGTTGGAAAATCCTATCTGGTTCATTAATGTCCTTTAGGGAAAGAAACTGCCATCCTTACCTGGTCTAGCCTACATATGACTCCAGACCCACAGCAATGTGGTTGACTCTTAACTGCCCTCTGGGCAATTACAGATGGACTATAAATGCTGCCCAGCCAGCAACGCCCTCACCCCATGAATGAATAAAGAGGCCAGCAACTGAAATTGATAGCCTCCTAGTGATTTCATGGGATGGCTTGGTGAGGGTTGATTCCTATATGGACATGCAACTGCACATTCAGGGGCCCTTGGTGCCAAGGGCCACCCTTATCGCAACATGCTGCCAGGGTTTAATGACCGGTATCTTCTGCCTGTCACATCCCATCATACCCTCACACAAATTTCCAGGGCCTGCCTGCTTGGACAACCCAAAGTATCTATATTTGATGGCCCCTGGAGTCTGAGGTACCCTCTCTCTGGAGTTGCCGCCCGAGCAAAGGATATCACTGATCATTTGCACTTGTGGACAGGCATAACTGAATGGTGACTTATTTAGAAATCTCTTTATTGTCTGCTGCTTGCACCCTGCTCTGTCAGATCCTGCTGCACGCCGCATGGAAGTCACTTCCTGCTTTCAGCCTCAGTGGCAGCATTTCCCTGTTAATGGCAAAATCCAGCCCCACGTGATGCACAGTAAAAGTTATTTAAAAAATTGATGCAATTCTCAGTTTTGTCTCACCGGGGTGCTACATGGTATGAAGAAATAGAAAGATGATGAAATGCTCCTGAAAACTGGTACTTGCTTCATTAGAACAATGCAAAATATGAAGTGATGCAAAAAATGTTGTTTTAATTATGAAAAGTTGGGACCGAGCAAATTGAAAAATAGTAGCTGAGGATCTAAAGATAATGGGTAGAAGGTACAAAAGCATCTGTAAGTTATTTTTAAAAATATGCTAAATGTTTTCATTTAAAGATTTGTGGAATTCATTTCGAAGCTTTCTACTGGTTGAGGTAGTAACTGTGACAATATTCAAAGTCATTTGGACAGGTGGATAAAGTAAAAGGCACTCAGCTAATAAAATGCAAATAAAAAAGCCTGGATTTTTTTTTCTCACTGTAATTGTGAAGTGATACAGGATATGATGCACATGTTTCATGATGACTTCAATTAGTTTCCATTTCCTTCTGATAACATTGATTTCTGCTGAAATATACTTCCACAGTCTTGGCAGCCCTCCAGTATCATATTTCAGGTGTAATTCATGTGTGAGCACCATCAGAATGAGACAGAGAGTACAGGCAGACTACCTAACTGTGAAGGGGTGGGAAGAGTTTAGCATAGCCAAACCTGATGGTAATCTCATCCAGAATCTATACCTTGTGCATGTTTCTGTAAGATTCACAGGATTGTTCATTTTCTTTTCCAATAAACAGAATAAGAACTCATGACATAGTTTTGAATTCCGTAATTCAAACACATCGATTTCATCAGAACAATCTGTCATTGACTTACAGGCCTATACTTGCAAAAGGCCAAATTAAGCAGTCATTCCTTTTCCTAATCTATCATTATAAACCTTGGTCAAGTTGTTGGTTTCAGGTACAGAAGTTACAGTGGTACCTTACCATTACACAGTACCTTACACAGAGATTTGAACTGTCGAAGAAACGCTTCTTGGTACTACAAAATTTATGAGACTACATAATTTTAGATGGGACTGTGTATAAGGTACCATTAAGAAAATGGTTCAGGATAGAGCACCAGCAGCCAATGAACCAAGAATCTGCCTTTGGGCAGAGCACCTATGACTGTTTGAATGGATGAATGGATGAACGAATATCAGGTAGGGGGTTTAACAGGAGGACAGTGCATACCAGCTAATTTGTGCTAGCCCCCAAAACATAAATTCCTTCCCCACTAAGGCTAATTGTAGCTCTCTGATGATCCATCATAGTTGAGATGAACTAAGAAGCTAATATAATGCAAGCCAAGTTCGAGAACTGAGACCTTTCTTATCATGTACGGGTTGGTTTCATGCTTGATTCATTTATTAATTCAATCACTGAGGAAGCAGGTTAGCACAGAAATTTTAATTTAATGTAACACAGCCGCAGTATATTTATATAAGAATAAAATTTAATTTTCATTCTATCAACATTTGAACAATCCAGCCTAGAATCTACATTTATTTCTTTCAATCACAAGAATTAAAATAAATCACTTGATGCTGGGGTTACTTAACTGCTGATCAGCAAAAATAGGCTTAGCTTCCTAAATTTATTAAGTCCATCAGCACTTAAATTAAATCTCTTATAAATTGATTTATCCTTCAGTTGTGTGGCTGCTTATGTTTACGTGATAAAGTCATTAGCTTTAGGATGTCAGTAAGTAAAGTTTCATCATTTTCAACCTACCTCTGATGAGGGTTCATTCACTTCCACTCTAAGTGAGGGAGTTCCTTCACTTCTGTAATAAAAACAGACCATTATGTTTTACAGTAGCTAGTAGTTTAAATATCATTCATACAAACAAAAAAAAATTCAAACAGTGTGTTTTATTTTCGACATTGGACATTGATTGAGCAGGGGTACTGTTTAGAAATTAATACTCCTGCAAGAACTTTACAATACAGACATGCTTCATACAATTTCAAGTCACTGATTATAATAAATAAGAACTTGCTGGATCTAATGAATCATAACAATAAACATATAATAGACTTAGCTTATCTATCTCTTTGACCTTCCATGGCCCATTCCTTGTCAAAATCACTAAGGGGAAAGTCACATATATTGCAAATTCTGTCAAGGGTGATAGGGCTCTCAAGAAAGGGTTAACTGCAGTCGTTAAATGCGTCAAAATTGTTTGGACTATGATAACCAGTTCTTGCCTCTTTTGGTACCATACAGTGCTGATGCTTGTTTGGTTGTCCCACTTACTTGCATGACCCATAGCTGGTATTGGTTTATCACAACGAGTACTGGCAAATTAACTGTCTAATTCAGCTTTCACAACCAGTGACAACAACTTTAAATTCAGGTCATCAGCAGGCATGAAATGACAACAGTTCTGTGACTCAGAATGTGCATGAGACAGGTCAGTCTCATGGTTGACTATGCTTTTTTGTCTGTCTCCTGCCTTGAGGATTTCTGTAACCTATTGACATTTCACTCAACAAGACTGCCAATCTTCCAGAATAACCCTGGAGTTCTCTGTAATGAAAGAGTATATTTATGGATACTGCTTCCAGCTACCCTGGAGAAGAATTGACGGCACAAAAATAAACGCTTTCCCTCCATTTCCATTGAGCATTTCAATTTATTAGTCATAACACAATCAGAGATTGGAGGGGAAAAATACAGGACGATTACTCAGGGTGTAGAAATACTCAATTAAGCCAGGGAAAGTCTGTACATTTCCCAAGTAATATGCAAAGATGTGTGCTATTGGGAAGTACAGCACTTATCATTTTTCCTTGAGGTTAGGACAGAATTTTCCAGAAATGGGTCATATGGTCCAACAGGTCATTGCTAGTGTTCCACTCTAATTGAGATATTAGAGAATGAATTAATTAGAGAAGTTTCTGCTTAATTCCTTATTGGATATACAGTGGATGTCCATTATAACATGCTTCATTATGTTGTGAATTCCATCTCATGGCTCCCATCTTCATTTTTACTGGTCAAAAACAGAAGCAGGATTTTCTCAAGAACACAAGAACTAGGATTGGGAGTAGGCAATTCAGCCTCTTGAACTTGCCCCTTACATCTTAAGGTGGTCCAGCTATAGTGCAGTTACACCCTATAATGGACTTCCACTAATTAATTATTGCATTATATTTATGATCCTTTTGGATTCTTCCCAAGTATAATTATCTTATTTAAGTTTACCTCATCAAATTCCTTCATCATGTTACAGAACTCACTAAGGTCATCTCTCAGTCTTCTTTTTAGCCTGTTCCATCTTCTCTTATAGTTATATTTTCTCAGTGCTGATACCATCCTTGTAAATCAATTTGCAAAATATTTTTTACTTTATTCCTTTAAGGCCACAAGACGCAATAATGAATAAATCCTTGAATCACAGGTCACATCTGCTTTATTATGGAAGTTTTTCTATATATAGGAAATTATTGGTTTTTATTTGGATGATTTTTAAAAGGAGAACATCATTAGAAATTCCTGTACCAACGGTGAAGCACTCAAGTCTGATGGATGTGTCTCAATAATTACACAGAATCTACAGCATGTAAGCAAACAATTCAAAACATCTGGTTTTAGCTTCCTCCAACCTTTTTCCAACCCTATACCCATATCCTTTAGTTTCCTACAGCAATGTACGATCATCCTCACCCCAGGCATGTGCTTTCCCACCAGCAGAGGTGGTAGCATAGCACAGGAAGATGGTATGAACTGCAGATGCTGGAGTCAGAGTCAAAACAGTGCAGAGCTGGAGGAACACAACAGGTCAGGCAGCATCAGAGAAGCAGGTGAGTCGACGTTTCGGGCCTAGACCCTCCATCAGGACTGGGTGAGGGGAGGGGACGGGGAGCTGGGAAATTAAATAGAGGGAAGAGGGGTAGGGTTAGGGGAAGGTAGGTGGGATAGCAATAGGTGGATATCGGTAGGAATAGTGGGGATTGGTCAGTGGGAAGGGTGGGGCAGTTAGGTGGGGAAGAAGATGGACAAGTAGTGTCAGATCAAAGAGGCAGTGATGAGAGGGAGGTTTGGTCATGGGATGAGGCTGGGGGTGGGGAGATTTTGAAACTAATGAACTCTGTGTTTAGGCCATCAGGCTGTAGGCTCCCGAGGCGGAATATGAGGTGTTGTTCCTCCAGTTTGTGGGTGTCATTGTGACACTGGAATAGGCCCAGGATGGACATGTCACGCAGGGAGTGGGTGGGGAAGTTAAAATGGTTAGCAACCGGAAGGTGGTGTTGATTATAGCATACGGAGTGCAGGTAAACCAGGTTGGAGGATGTACAGGTGAACCCCTGACAGATATACAGTTGGGAGGGAGCTGTCTGGAGAGTCCTCAACTTTGACTTTGCACCTCATGAAGTCTCATGCCATCACGTCAAACAAGGGCAAAAGCCCTCCTGTTGCTTACCACATCCTGCCCCCTCAGGTTTTCTTCAGCAGTCATACTGGATTCATAATGTTAGTCTTGTTTCTCTCTCCACAGATACTGAGTTTTTCCAGCACTTTCTGTGCTTGTTTCAGATTCCCACTCCCTGGTGTATTTTGCTGTTATTTTAGTGACTAAGAAAGTTGGTATGAGATAAACCCCAAGGAAATGACAGCAGAGCTAGAGAGATCAAAGGACCGCACATGCATGGTCCAGGTCAGTGAATGCATCATGAATTGACATCCTCCATGCACCAAACCACCAACTTCTCACGCTGACCAATACACTGCATCCACATCATTCAATCAGTATCAGTCCCTGACATTCAGGACACATATCTAACACTCAGATACACCAGACCCTCACACTGATTCCGATGATGTCAGACTCACCTGGTTCCCAATGATTTTACATACCATGTATGCCATCCAGCTGTGGTTGGCATATCAGCCAAACACAGTTCTACACTACTACTGACATTCTGTCCTCTCAATTGACAGCATTGCAGACTGTGATATGATTATGCCTTGTATCTTTTATCAACTCTCAAATCAGCCTCACACTGCTCTGTGGTGCCATGAGCGAGTAGCTGATGGTGTAACTATGGACCTCCTTCCTTTCCACACCACTTTCCTTTCACCAACCTGACACTTACCCATTTCGTTTTCCAGATACCCAGGGACTGTCACCTGCTTGGCCAAAGTGCAAAGAGGAGGAGGTGGCTCCATCGCCCTGTCTAACTATGGCAGTCACCAGCTCTGATACTGGTAGTGTTGTACCCGTGAGGCAAGAATAAAGTTGGGACTGCTCATGATGAATCAGAGGGCTCAATTGAGTTCAAGCAGGCCGTAGGAAAAGGACTATCCATGTGTCAGTTTATTGCAGGGTGAGGTTGCAGATGAACTCTACTAGGGGGAATGGAGATGAAGATCACATAGGAGCAGCTTCTAGCGGAATGCTGATGAGCATACACACCAAGATAGTGGGTGCATTGACATGCCTGTCAAAAAGCCTCCGGCCACTGTTCAGTAGCATAGAGGAGTCCAGCTCCAGAAGGTATCACTCAGGGCTTGTGTTCTCTGCATCCTCTACTTCATCTTCAATCCTGCTGCTGACCCAGAGGCACTAATTGGCTAATACCTCAACCTCAGCCTAACCATTGTGCACATAGGTCACCAGATCATCTGCCTTTCCTCAGAGGATGCTGCAACACTCCTTGCAAAATCCAGGAGCTCTCAACAGCTTCTTCAAGAACACTTCAGAGTACTTAAAGACACATTGTAACAGTGTAAGTTATATCTGAAAATTGAGTAATTGGTCCCTTATATAATACTAGTTCCAACGCCCTCCAGCAGCTGAAATCATTTACTTTAGTGGGTGATAAGTGAATATGTAGGCAGAACTTCCAAGTTAGTAAATAGAGCATCCAGTTAGCTGGTAGGGCTATATGATGTCATAACAGCACAAACTCAGAAGAGTCCAGCATGCACACAGGGCACTGGTAGAAACATCCTCACAGCCAGTGGGGCCAATAGCGATAACAAGTGAAGGTACAGTGCACCTCAACTGCAGGACCTCCAGTTTCCAAAGCATCATTACCAGCAGTGCCACTGATCAGAAATCCACATTCTTCATCTTTTCAAGGCGTTTCAAAAGTCGTGTTTAATTTTTCTGACTGTACTAACCAACGTTAGAAAGCCCAAGTGGAATATGAATGTTTAACTGATGATATTTAAGCAAATAAATGAGAGGATACCACACGATGAAAACTAGTTTGTTCAAAACTTAAATTTTACCGTTGTCCTTGCACTCATTAATTGTGGATAGTAAGACATCACTGATGACATTTCTGTTAAATCAATAGGTCAGTGTGTACACATATAGGAACTGTTGTGAAGTAGGCTTCATAAAGTCAATCTGACTTAGGTCAGGTAAGGTATTGAGATGTTTATTGCTTTCTGCTGAACAGGCAATTCTGAGGTACTTTGGTCTAAGCCCAGTACCGATAGGTTCTATAGGAAAGTGAAAATAAAAAACAAGCCTCTTTCCAAATCCATACCACATTTGAAAGCACAGGCTTTCACTAGAATCCTTGGCTATGGTGTCAAAGTGACTGAAAACCCATTGTCTTAGAAATTATCTATGTGAGTATACTTTCTCTAATACTGTATTGCAATATATCAGCATGGCAAGATAGCACCATACCACTCTACATTCAGTATTTCTGTAGACTATGTAAAAGCTTAATATTACAAAGTTCATTCAAACTAGTCAGTATCAAAATCTCTTACATGGGATCTGAGTTGACAGGATGGAGAATAACTTGTGGAGTTCGGCTTTGTACCTCGGGTGTGACATCTAGGAAGAAGATATTAAGTTTGACGAAGGGAGAAGTTATCAGCTGACAATTAAAAGGAAGCAATCATAAATTTAACATCAAATAAAGAATACCAACTCTCTGAAGAACCTCAGAACAACCTCACTTATTAAAAGGAGCTACCTTAATCTTGGAGAAATCAAACAAAAACTATGAATTTATTCATGCGTCCTAGTCAAATATTTATCAAAGGATCTTGCAGTTATGGCAATGACAGACACATAATTTAATTCATTAAAGCATTCCAAATGTCAATAATTAAAGGGAAAAATGTGCCTTAAGAAAATATAAGAATTATGACTAGTTGCATTGTATCCACCAAAATATGTATACTTGTGTACTGCACGATGGAAAGAAATATTGGTCAACTGAAGATTACCTACCAGGAAAAATGAACTGCTGCTTGTACTTGAAATAATGAGAAGCTTGCAACAGAGAAAAGGCAGAACTGTAAGCAAAGTAATCAAGACCAAGTAAAACATAGGCACAAAGGCATCCTCTTATTTTTATCATAATTATTACATTAGTTATTTTGATTGTTGAGAAAGTCATGTTACTTTACATCAGGCTGTCAATACTATACACTAGAACAACTAATAACAAAATGCCAAAATTTCAGGTACAATTAAGTTAATTCTGTAAGAGTTCTACATTACTTAGTTCTATAATAGGGGTTTAAATATTTTTCCACATTTGGTGTACAACCTGCTAATGAAATGATATTATTCTGTTTTCAAATGTGCTATTGTGTTAGATGCAACTTTGTCAGCAGGATTGACAGGACAAGAACAAATTACAGTGCAAATGTAATAATTTTTAAAAATAATTTCTTGAGCTACTTAACTTACAATGAATATGCGAAATGCGCTAAGCTTCTCAGAAATGATTACATGGCAAAACCTGTTTTTCCCATCCGTTACTGCAGAGTAGAGAATCATGCAATTGAGAAATGCCAGAATCTGCTTGTTATAAAAGGAGATACCTTGAAGTATGTTACCAACGCTATTGTAATGACCAGAGGGCAATAAGAGAGTGATCCTTTTTTCTCCAAAAATCTATATCATGTGTCTTAAATTTTCTAATGAAGGGACACTTTTGCTGGACTGACAACATGGCCACTGATATCACCATGCAAGTTGGCCACAATTCCTGGAAAGTTGTGATCAGCAGTAACCAGAGCACAGACGTTTATGTCATTCCCCCAGGGTTGTCACCCATTGCAGCCAAACCAACACAAAAGAGCAGTAGACAAGATGTCAAACTCAGTCAGTTCAGCCATGAAATATATAAACTCCTTAGTGGGCTCAACAGCATAGATGTGGAGAGGATGTTTCTTCTGTGGGAGAGTCTAGGACAAGAGGGCATAGTCTCGGAATAAGGGGTCGCCCACTAAAGACAAAGATGAGAAATTTCTTCTCTCAGACTGGTGAATCTGTGGAATTCTTTAGTGCAGGGAAGTGTACAGGCTGGCTAGTTAAATAGATTCAAGACTGAGTGTGGAAATTACAGGTTTGGGGAAAAGCAGGAAAGTGGAGTTGAGGATTATCATATCAGCCATGATGTCACTGAATAGTGGAGCGGATTCGATGGGCCAGTTGACCTACTTCTGCTCCTATGCCATACAGTCTTGTAGCTTTAAAGGAGACCATTAAAACCATTACTTGACTTGGTGCCAATGGCTCCACCGAAGACAATAAGTTTGGCCAGGACATTAAAACCCACCTCATTAGCTGAGTAGCTAAGCCGGAAACCCAGGTCACATGACTGAAACTGGTTTGTTTGAGTCACTTTTGATTATACAGTTTTGACTTCTTTCCTGAGCCTGCTGATAGAACTCTGAGAGAACATAACAAAAGCAGTTCCAGGGTTAGTTTAACCTGCCTCAAGTCTCGATCTCTCTCAAAGGTCTGATTTCTGGAAAGAATTCTGCATTTCACCTGCAAAGTGAACCAATTTCCACCTTACAACTACTGTATCTTCACCAGCAATTTGACCACATCTGTTCTTTGTGAGAGTAACTCTATGTAATGTATTGCAAGGAGTCATAAGCACCTCTCTCCACCAGAGAGAGACAATTGGCCATGTACAGCTTGAGGGGGGGCTAAGGTGAGAAGGCTGGGCTTCCATGACAAACTTATGCATACAGCTGACTGAAGAACCTCATCTGGATATTGACTTACTGGACTCAAGTTCATGTGAACTAACTCCATTATCTTTCATTTTAAGTAACTTTTTACGCTTAACTTTCTCCACCTGTATCGGATGCAAGTGTGTGAATGTGTGTTGCAATGGTTTTCCCAGGCTGTGAAAGTATTAATAATTCCTACTTTGCTTTTATCTCAAAGAATTTGTTGTGGGGCAATTTTAAGTTGGACTTCATAAACAGGGTTTGGGAGAACACACAAATATAAAACAAAGAACTGCGGATGCTGGGAAATCTGAAATAAAAACAGAACCTGCTGGAGAAAATCAGCAGGTCTGGCAGCATCTGTGGAGAGAAAGCAGAGTTAATGTTTTGAGTTCTGAAGAAGGCTTGCACACCAAACACATCTCTACCTATTTTGTTTTAAAAGGGAAAAGAAAGTAAGTAAATAAAATTATAAGTCACCTGATATGGACAAGAAAAGAGGTCAGTAAAAATAATTCAATTAACTTGTCCCTTTTGTGAATGAAACTACAGGCCTTGAACAGATACGTAAGCTCCATGCCGTTTACTGTGAACACCTAGAAGGTAAATAATTGACACCCCATTGAATAAAGAACTAAGGGTAAAGCAATTATAAGGACTGAGGTGATGAGTACTTCTGTAATGGTGAGAGGCTTTGAAGTATAAATTTCCAAAGGGACCTTTTTTTCGTGTGTCACTGAAGTTAGCATGCAGGTGCAGCAGGCAATCACAAAGGCAAATGGTATGTTGGTCATTACTGCAAGAGGATTTGAGCACAGTTGTAAAAATGTCTTGCTTCAATTGTACAGAATTTTTATGGAACTGCACTTGGAGTATTGTTTGCAATTTTGATACCCTTACCTAAGAAAGAATATACCTGCCATAGGTGCTTGCTATCTGATTCCTGGATGGCAAGAACGTCCTATCAGGAGAGACTGAAGAAACTGAGCCTGCATTCTCTAGAGTTCAAAACAAATGAGCGGCGATCTCATTGAAACTGACAGAACTCAAGGACGAGAGAGAACAGCTACAGAAAAGATGTTTCTGCGGTTGCAGGTGTTTGGAACCAGGCGACACAGTTTCAGAATAAGGGGCAAGCCATGCTGAAGGACTAAGATAAATATACTGAGTACTGAAAAAGGCCAAAAAAAGTTTGGAAATCTATTAGTGGCTAACATAAATGGAATGTACAAGCATTTAATAAACATATCAAAAATGAAACTGCAGTCAAAGGAATTGATTAGTGATGAAAAGGAAGTTATTCTGTTTGGAGGCTGAAGGTGTGAAAAGGTAGTATGTGAGCAGGTTCAGCCTGTTTTCACTTGAAAAAAATGCTGCCCATGTAGCAATAGAGGAGTCAGTTGCGATTTTGGCCAGGAGCAAAATAGATAAAGATGAGATATTTAAAATGTGACAATACTCAAAAGTAGAAAGGTAGGAAGGGAGGTAAGGGTTAACACAGTGTGGAGCTGGAGGAACACAGCAGGCCTGGCAGCATCGGAGGAGCAGGAAAGCTGACATTTTGGGTCGGGACCCTTCTTCTGAAATGGGGGAGGGGTAGCTGTGTTCCTCCAGCTCCACACTGTGTTATCTCTGACTCCAGCATCAGCAGTTCTCACTATCTCAGCAAGGGAGGTAAGTAGTGTTGTTCACTAGGTATGTGCTGCAGCTAACATACTCTTCTTAAAGGCTCCCTTCATCTTAAAGGCATGTACACACCCGAGTTAAAAGTTGCTGGAAAGTCTTTAGGAATACTGAAGGTGATGAAGAATGGCACAACAGACAAGATACCACACAACACAAGACAGAACCAGCAAGGGGATCTCCATGTCTTTATCCTTAGGTCTGCTTGAAAAACTTGAAAAGTCATAGATTAGGAAGCAGCACAGCCAGTGCTGTCTCCAGGACAATGGTAGTAATTGGGTTATGGTCCTTTTTAAGTCCCCCTCACCCTCGTTCTGCAGTCTGACATGAAGTAAAAACTCCAGGTATTGTGACCTTGCTTTCCTTCTCATTCCAACCCTTACCCTTGTGCTTTTTTCACAGTCAGACATCCACAATTGTTATCTGTACATGGTATCTAGGAGGATGAAGAGCAATTACCTCAGACAGCACCTTCCAAACCCACAACCACTTCTATGTACAAGGTCAAGGACAGCAGATATATGGGAACACCACTACCTACAAGTTCCTCTCCAAGCCACTCACCATCCTGACTTGGAAATACATCACCATTCCTTCAATGTCGCTGGGACAAAATCCTGGAATTTCCTCCCTAACGGCATTCTGGGTCAACCTACAATGGGGGTTCACCACCACCTTCCCAAGGACAACAAATCTGACCAGCCAGGGATGCCTACATCTCACAAATGAATAAAAAAATCTTTGACAATAATGAGGAGGCAGCAACACTTAAGCCATTAGCTCAGAGACTCACTTGCAAGAGGCTTGTATAGTGTTGGGATAAGCACAAGGTGAGTCACTGGGCATGACTGGGTTTCAGCCAGGCTAGGAGGAAAAGGTGGCTGATGTGCCAGCTTCTTGGAGGGCAAGGTATCAGACGAATTCCATTCTGGGGTCTCAGGGAGAGGATTTTGATGGCTGACACATAGAAGATCACTGATGATGATCCAAATTGAAATGCTAATTACATTGGCAGGCCTGCCAAATAGTCTCCTATCACTGTCAAGGAATACAGAATAGTCTGACTTCAACAGGACATAGGCTGTCATGCCGACCTCAGAGCCTCTCCTTTCCACAATGGAAGTGGTAGCTAGCTCCACTACAGCACCAGTGAACAAATCCCTAATGTCACATTTGGCATCCGATATCTCAACTTCCACGGCAGCACAGCGGACTTCGCCTGAACTGCAGGCTCAGATTCTTACGGTGGATGCCAATCTTAGTCCCCAAAGGGACCTCCAGGCTCTCAGCAGTAGCATGATCAAAGAATACTAGCTCATGGAAGTGCACCCACAAGGCAGACACCAAGGGAATGCACAAGAGTGAATAGTTGTTTGCTGTTTCCATAACTTCATCTGCTATTGCATTAAAATATTTTCTGAAGGTTTTTGTTGGTGTTCTTTACAAACTGATCTTGCAGGATGTGATGGAGCATCTGAAACGGATGTGACAGTGGGCATGATTGGTCAAAGATGATGTGGGGATGTTTGATTCAATTGAAGAAGAACGTCGGGAGACTGCTCTCTTGCTCTCTTGTCCAGTTGCAAGAGGTTCATGTAACCTTACTCCTGCCTCCTCCCCTTCTTCCTCTGTAGTGACTGTAATGAGGTCAGCCTAGTGGACTTTACAGAATATGAGTTCCCTGATTGAGGCTGTTAACCTGGTCCAATCAGGGAGCCCTGGTTAACAGATAAAAAGGGGACTGTCAGAGATACTGCACTCTGAAAGCTGACACTATACTAAAGTCAACGACTGTTCATGTGTAAATTAAGGGTTACTCGGTGACAGGATACTGGCTTCCGTGGAGTTATTTCATCCTCTTCCTCTGAGGTGGCTGATGGGTTGCAGCAGTTAAATGGCTAAGGGAGACCATGACTTTCACATGCCATTGGGCAAAGTGACCACAGTCTGATCTGTGATTGCCAATTGGTGAATTGGAGCCATGGCTGACATCATTCTTGGTTCATTTGAATGGTATAGCTCCCAGTAGTGGGAGCGTGAATGGTGGGTTGTGTGTTAAACCATACTTCTTCTCTTCCCTCCTAAAAAAATTTCCACCGTATAACATCTCTGTACCATTCCTTCCCTCCCCTTAAATGTCTACCCTCTGTGGAACAGATCCCTCTTGCCCCAGAAGTAGTTCCAGTGCTTCAAGCACTGTCTGGTCACATATGAACTCGTTATCTCACTATTCTCAACTCTTTTCCTTCCTAAGGCACTGCTTCCTCCATAGACCATGATTTCCAGCTGCTTCCACAAAACGTATTTGCTTGGTTTTCTATTGTGACACTGAGGCTCCTAATGATTCATTAAGTTTGGAAATGCTGCAGTCATAACAATTCTGTGCACTCTCCTGTTGAGCAGTGCAGTACATCAGCTAAAAAGAAATAAGTCACAGCACAAATCCACTGCTTTCAACTGAAACAGATATAGCAGTACATAGCCTTTCAGGACTTCTTAGCCTACAATTACAACATACTGTAACTAATGACCATATTAATGAAGTTAAGACAATGATCTTTGTGATGCAAGGTGTGATTTATATTTGTTTTAATATCGTTTATTTTAGATTTTGGATTTGATCTGTTGTTTTGGTCTGTGTGTCTGAAGTGGTTTAATGATTAGCTTGTAAGTATTTCTGCAGCTATGGTGATTTTAAGTAAAAGACCCTATAGGAGAGGGAGTTCCTGGCATGTAACGGAGTTTGTTTTCACTGGGACAATTTACGAGTAAACAAAGCAAAGAATTGTGCATAGGCTTTCAGTAGTTCAGCGGTTGTTTTGTTTTTTTCTTTTGATTAAGGGAACCATCAATAATTGGAAAAAAGAAGCTTTTGGGTTTCAGTTTGGCTGTTCTGCAGTAGCCCTTCCTGAAGATGGATGCAACAAACATTTGTTTCTGAGAAAGGGAGATCGTTTAGAACTATTAAGTATAGATTGCCTCTGTATAAGCAGTTTAGTTTAAAAGTTCCATACCAGAAATGTTTGGTTATAATCTTAAAGAAATTATTTGAAGCTGCAAAAGTATAAGCTATCAGGTTCTCATTATAGAGAATTGAAGCCACAGTTAAATTAAGCCCTATAACTGTGAAAGAGAAGGGAATTCTACCTGGTGTGAGTACCAAAAAATCTACTGCTTTGGGATTAATGGGATTAATTGTATTTTGGCTTTAAAATTTGTGGGGTTTTTTTTGTCAAGAGCCTGGTTTATTCCATTTTAATTTTCATTTCTTTGTGTAATAAACCTTTTTTATTGATAAAACAAAATCTGCAGTAAGATACACTTGTTTCTCAGTTCAAATCCATCTTGTTAAAATGAAAAGAAACAAAATATGATCTATCAATCCAAACTTCAGTTTTGGACCTGATTTATCCAGTCTTAACATCAGTAAAGTTAGGATCATAATACCGTGTAATTCTTCACATCACCAATGATTATCAGGCAAGAGCAACTAGCCTACCCAATGTTGAATCAGAGACATAGCCCTGTTTTAGATTTAAGTGCAAACTGTGCTCAAATTCACACTCGTTTTAAGAAGTGCTTCATTTTTTAGTTGAATTTTTGTTCTATTATATTTTGTATCACCTAACACAAAATCTTCCATGAATCAGAACAGTTTTAGGTGATAGTTTTTTGAAGTTTTTTTTAATTACTTGAAGTATTCCTTGAAATATCTGAATTGAAAATGAAACAGCTTTATCAATGTAGCTGAAAATGGAATTGACATAAAAAGCATTTTTAATCCAAGTGTCCATTCCCTGTGAGTAACACAACTTTGAATAACTGAAAATTGCATCAAACAGTATAACTAGCCATTTACCTTGCTGTACATCCAGTTTCTTACCAAATTAAAAATATGTAACTCACTACGATGATTAATTCAGTATGGGGGCCGAGGGTATGGTCACTTTTGTAGGTGGAACCAGCTACAAGCACAATTTTTAAAAATGATCATAGAAACCTGAATTGTGCTTAAAATTGACACTGTCTTTCATGTTGGCTCCACTTTTATTTTCTGAATTACTTTGACAAAAAACACCAAAACAAACTGGTGAAAATTCTAGAGACAACGCAGTGTGGAGCTGGAGGAACACAGCAGGCCAGGCAGCATCAGAGGAGCAGGAAAGTTGATGTTTCGGGTTGGGACCCTTCTTCACAAATGGGGAAGGGGAAGGGAGCTGGGAAATAAATACAGAGGAGGGATGGGGCTGGGGAAGGTAGGTGGGATGGTGATAGGTGAATGCAGATAGGGAGTGGTGGAGATTGGTCAGTGGGATGAGTGGGGCGGATAGGTGGGAGAGATGATAGACAGGTTGTGTCAGGTCAAGGAGACGGGGAAAATTCTAGGCCATCAAGTTATTAGATCGAAAAGGATGTGGGAGTTTATGCCATTCTCCTTACAAGCCAATTTCCAAGAGGACCAAATGCAATGCTATCAAGGCTCAGCTATGCACAGCACTTTTTGACATGTTACAGAACCTTGAACTCATCATCCCAAACCTGCCAGAAAAAGCACATTGATAATTCTTGGGTATTACCTTTTAAAATTCATTTACAGGACATGGACATCACTAACCAGGCCAATATTTACTGACCATCCATAACTACCCAGAGGACAATTAAGAGTCAAAAACATTGCTGTAGGTCAGAAGTCATACGTAAGCCAAACCAGATTAGAACAGTAATTTCCTTCCCTAAAGGACCTTATTGAACCAGATAGGTTTTTCCTGGCAATCAGTTCATGGTCAGCCTTCAATTCTTAATTCCAGATTTTTATTGAACTCAAATTCCACCATCAGCCATGGCAGGATTTGAAGCTGGGACCCCAGAACTGGAATTTTGGATTAATGGTCGAGTGATTATACCAGTAGGCCATGGTTGTACTTAGAGTTTATCATTCACTGAATGCCCAGTACAAAATACATGTCAGGAGCATAAATTCATAAAAATCTACCTAAATATGCAATCACAGATCAACAAAATAAGACTAAATTTCATCAACATATTTTGATTCTTTTTGTGAATATTCTTACCTTGACATTCTTCAGTTTATGATATTTCTCACTTTCTCTAAATTCTATTTTCTCAATGATATCAGGATTGAGTAGCCTTTAATAATACATCATCAAGGATACACTTCTCTCCTTGCTCTTACTGTGTAAGGGCAGATGTGACTCAATTTTCCAACTTGACTGTCACTGCATTTCCCATTATGCTTGTCATAATGAACAGTTTATACTGTACAAGGTTATCACAGTTTTTAAATAAATGACACATAAAACTCTCATCCTTCAGGTTAAACAATAATTCAAAATATGAGATGGAGAACCTCAGTGACACAACAGAAAATTGGGTGGTAAACTATTTACTTTTAAGTATGTAAATATAGACCAGATACAATTGTTAGAAATGGAGTTACCTTGTGGTGGGCTTGTGTGACTGTGGCTCTCAAGCAAGTCACTGCTTGTGATTGTCCTCAACCGAATGTTAGTGAGTATACCTGATTTAGAAGAAAAGCGCAATTCTAAAATCCATTTAAGGTGGATGTTGATTGTACTTAAAAAACTGCCATTTCCCAAAGGATTAAATTGTAAATTACTATCATTTCAAGATTTTGTTGTGCAAAGAATTTGCTGTCAAACCTGCTGGCTTTTGTGCAATCTCTGATCTCATGGATGCCCTGTCCCCTGTTACCATAGAAATGGTTTGTGCCCTCGCTAATCATAGGCATTTGTTTTGCGGTTGATAGTAACAGCAGCTTTCCGTGGATTAGTAAGACAACCTACAATGGTTATTAACCGCCAAACACAGAAAATGTTGAAGTGTAATTTTGAACAGAAATGGGTCTTGACACTTAAAAGAAAAACTGGTGAATTTGTAGATATTATCCCAATTGATGGCTAACAAAAATAACAACATATAATTGAACAGAGGAACTTGAAGAAAATGGCCAGTTTGAAATCAGTGGTATTTGATTTATTTTAAAAGTCATGATCTCCTTGAAAGGAGCTATTTTCTTTGCCACATCGATCGGAGCTTCAATTGAACTTTAACTCATCCACTGAGGTAACTGTATAGTCTAACCAAACCAGTGACCAGGTGCTTCAAGAGCCTAACAGCATGTCTTTGAAGTTATTATGCACACAGATCAAAAATTGTCAATCAGTGGAATGCGTGGTGCCAGAGGAAATAGATCGGAGGTTGATGGTTGAAAGTAACGAGTATTTAAACAAAGCAAGCACGGTTTGTTTCAAACAGCCTCTGCTCTTCAGAAGGTTGGCAATGCAAAATTCAATTTAAGGGAGAGTTGTCAAAAATTTGGAAGAACACCAGCTGTCAGAAGAGCTTCTGAGCAATAATTTACTGTAGGAAAGAATGCCAAATCACAAGACAGGCTAGGAGACTATTGCCATGGACAGGCATGAGCATTTATTTTAACATTAATCCCATGTCTAAGTTGAATTGGGCTATTAAGAACCAACTTCAATGGAGAGTTTCACAGGTCTATCAGACATCAGATCATTTTTAAAAACTTAACCTTTTAATGAACAGTTCTGAGTTTGAGTTCCATCTCATCCAGAGGTGTGTAATAACACCTCTCAACAGGTTGATTAGAAAATATCTAATAGATATAACCCTCAATGAGTTCCCAGTATCTAGTTATGTGCCACTCAATTGGCAGAAGCCAACTGAATGTTTATATACCCCTTGATGTACTTCCTCTCTGCTGGATTGTCAGGGATTTCACACATTTGTAATTAATTATATATACTAATCATTGCTTACATTTACAAGGTCACACTAAAACACAGCAGTTACAATATATTCCCCAGCACAGTTACAATATATTCCCCATTGCAAATTCATAGCTCCAGACATCATCATGGATGTAAAAAGTGCATGTTCCCACAGCAATTCTGAATGAACTGGAAAATACCGTCATCATTTGCACTTCTATGGGGAGTAGAATGCATGCCTACACATTGGTTAAAGACAAAAAAATGTCTTTTATCTACACCACGTGCAGATATTAGGCCTTTTGCAAATTCTTATAAGCAGTCTAACAACACTTGAGGCATCCTCTTCCCTGCATAGAGAGACAGTAAGAACTGCTGATGCTGGAGTCAGAGATAACACAGTGTGGAGCTGGAGGAACACAGCAGGCCAGGCAGCATCAGAGGAGAAGGAAAGCTGATGTTTTGGGTCGGGACCATGTCCGAAGAAAGGTCCCAATCTGAAAAGTCAGCTTCAGGTACACAGATTTTCTTACAGCATGGTGGGATTTGAACCCCAGTCTCCGGATCATTAACTGAGTTTCTGGGTGAATAGTCTAGGCAATAATACCACTAGGCCATCGCCCCCCCTATTAACTATCCCATGGTGAGCTGCAGAATTGGCTTTGCTGCCCTTTCCACAAGTTTGACCCTTGTCATCTGGAGTGAATTGTTCCAAAACGATCTCTTGTTAGTTTTGAACTATAATCCCAAACTATAATCCGTTGGGTGTGAAGGATTTGTTCCTAGTCATGTACTTATCCAAATGTCTTTTAAATGTTGTAACTGTACCTGCATCCACCAGTTCCTCTGGCAGTTCATTCCACATACCAATCACTCTCTGCATGAAAAAGTTGCCCCTCTTTAAATGTACGAAGAAAAAGAAAACCATGAAGAAAGATAAGCTGACATTCCTAATGGAATTTCCTTACCTGAACTGGGTGAAAGTTTCCATTGTCAACGTTAATCAATTGTATACCTCTATCATTTTCCATTTTGAATTTAAATTAAATACATCGGGGTTGATTTTGCATGTATGGACAGCCAAAGGGGACCCTTGACCCATCAAGAAATCACGGGGAGACAAAATGGGGAACTACAGGACATTCTGTTCTCGATTTTCCATCTTACAATAGCTCCCCAGCAGTACAGTGAGCTCAGAAATAGAGAACCCATTACTTTCAACACATTTCAATTGAACTGAAGTGGTGTACCTGACAGGTTGAATTGTTTCTGTTGCCGGGTGCACTGTGGTGACGGGTGAAGGGGTGAAGGAGGTGTCGCGTTGGGAGGTAGAGGCGGCGCTGGAGAGGACGGCGTTGACGACGTTGTTGATGAAGGATTACTGCTGGAATCCGGCTGATAAGGGACAGGTATATGATCCTGCAGATAAAGAGAAAAAGACCTTGCTTTGATAGCATGCAGTGGTACCACAAGTCCCTACCAGAATGGAGAAAACTGGAGAGTTGCCCCATCCATCACCCCTGCAAATTGGACCACTGATAGAGGTGGGCATTAGTTTTACAGACATCATTCAAAATAACTATCTGTCAATCACTGCATTCTGCTCAAATATTAATCCTGTGCTACTTGGAGACTGGTGCAGTTCCTCTCTTCAGTTCACAGACTGGATTTACACTCTCCTAAAGGCAGGGGCCATCGATAAATCTGATGAGGCATCTATCCGTCATCTATCTGCCTGTACATTTACCATGTGGTTGCATCAGGCAGCCCGTCCACCATGGGTCAATTGAAACTACTAAATGATTCAAGTGTCATTTTGATAAATCATTTTCAATGATTTTTGATCAATTTGTTTTAATATGGGTTCTTTGGATGTTCATATAAGTTTAGGCCAGACTCCTTGGTTACTTTTAAGCAACGTTTACTAACAGTCTGGACATGGTGTTAAGGCTACACAGCAGTGCACCATACAGGATCCAACTGCCTAGCAGTGTACTAACACATAATTACTGAGGTGAAAGTTACATCACAGCTTACTTCATAGGGTCATCAATATATTCATGAATCCCTAATTCTCCAATTTACACGGTTACAGGCAGGAAAGCCTTACTAAAATGCTTATTTTACTTGATAAACCAATTTTCATTACATTACTAAAACTGCACAAGTTTCCACTCTCAATTGCAAAAAGGATTATTTTTCTTGGCACATTTGGGTTCTGTTATGCTGCCCTATTGCATTGGTTTGTAGTAATTTTACATTTGTGATGATACAAATTCATTTTAGCAATATAACCAGCTTGTTTTGACAGAAATTTCCTGTTTGTGCTCAAAGGGAAACTGTACCTGCACCGTACAGTAACCCTTCAGTTTTAATTTGTTATTATGTCATTCCAGCACCTTCGCCTAAACCTTTTGCAATTTAAATATAAGAAGACTGTGTACTTTAATTCAAGCTTTTGGACTGTGTCTGTGATGAATCTTTCTCATTGACAGTATGCTAGGCAAGATTTTATAAGCATCAATTTTGACAGCAAGCTGGCCACTTCTTTATACATAACACTGCTCAAAGATGCCCATTCAACTGTCAAGGATAAATTTTTTAAATAGTCACAGAATCATAGAGCTGTACAGCTCAGAAACATACCCTTCAGTCCAACTCGTGCATGCTGACCAGATATCCTAAATTAATCTAGTCCCATTTGGCCCATATCACTCTAAACCCTATACTCCATCTACCTTGTCAAAATTCCTCATCATCTTGGTCAACTCCATCAATTCTCCCTTTAACCGCCTTTGGGTCTCAAAGGAGCAATCCTAGTTTCTCTTAGTGTCTCCACCTTACTGAATATCCTGAAATTTGGTAGAATTTTGGTACATCTCCTCTGCACTTTCTTCAAGGTCTTGAAATGAAGCTATCATTGGTTCAGCTGAACAGATGTTTTGGCCCTGACATTTGCTATGTCAGAGATCCTCTCTGTTGTACAAAAATTGGTGCAGGAAATCAGGAGTCCCTGATCCCGGCATTTCTCATTTTTACGGGGGAAGGAGTAGGGGGTAGTTCATAGATCATGCATATCCAGTTGCTGGGGATAACTGGCCATTTAAATGATTGAGTGTATCCACCGAATTGGATTTTGGATTCCCGGCTATCTGACACCTGGAAGGTGGAGATTAGACCAAGTAAGAGAAGGTCTGTTTGGACAGTCAGGGTGCCCCCTTTAGAAAGCTAATGTATTGTAGATGTGACCTCAGGGCATCTTTGGGGAATGTTAACTGTGAGAAGATTGTGTATAAAGAGTGCATAAACCCCTAGGAATTGTCCATCTGTCAAGAACTGTCAACCTGTAAGGTGTGCCAACTTGTCAAGGAGTGCCTAGAAGTGTCAAAAAATGAAGACCTGTCAAGAACTATCAAAAAATGTTTTGTTTTACCGAATGAGTAATTTTCTCAATATTGTGCAATCTACAATTTAGAACTTCAAATAATAAAACTATATTTGCTTCTGCTATGTGCATGGGTACTTGTGGATACTCAATGAGTTGGCAAACTAGGCAACAGGGAATGGTAGTGGGTAGAAATTAAATGCTAAGTTGGCATAGAGTATGAGGGGCCATGGAATGAGGTAGAAGGACACAGGTGGCACGGGAATGTGAGGCACTATGATGATGGGTACGATGTGTTAGGCCGAAATATAGGAAGTGTGTGAAGGTATTTTGGAGTGAGAGTTAGGGAAGAGGGTCAGAGGCATGTTTTCTATTTCTCTTCTTTGTAGAGGTAAAGTATCTCTTCGGATCTGGGGCACTTTTGGTGGAAGCAACACACCCTTTGGGATAGGCAAGATACGATTGGTCGAGGTAAAGCACCCTTTAGGTCTGTGAAAAGACATGCTTGAACATAAAAGGTACATTAACCCATTATGACTGCCAACAATATGAAAGAGCTGTCCAAAGAAAAGAGTGGAGTTAAAAGAAATTGGTACTGGGTATTTCAGAGTGCCTGTTCACGTAGGATTCGTGCTGCATGACTGATTTCCCGAACTATCGTTTTCACAGAAGGGTGCCTATCAAGTGAGCATTTTGAATCAGAGTTCTAACTGCTTATCAAATGGAAATGTTTTTTGACATAAAATTTTAAGCATTTAAGGGTTAAGTGCTTAAGTGAAATGTTTATGTAAGTGATTAGTTAAAGCAATTTCCATGCATTGACTTTTCTTGTTTTCAATAAGAGTTTTTCCAATAGTGATATTATCAAAAGAGACATAGCGAATTACCATGGAGAGTGAAAGGTACAGGGTGGTGGGTGGGAACACTTGAGTTGGCATAGGGACTATATAGCCATAGCAATGATTACAGGCATAAGTGGCACGGGAAGTATGAGGAGCTGTGGAACATGTGAGAATGGATATAGTGTGGCACAGGCAGTATGAGAGACTATGGGGATGGGCAGATGAGAATAGTGTGGTACAGGGAGCATGGGGCCACGGTGATGGGCAGAGTGGTAAGAAGGTGGCATGGACAGGGCATAGGGGTGGGGGGTAGCGAGCAGGAGGAATGTTTTATGTTTCAACATATAGTTTTAAAATTTTACCACACTGCTAAAGCTGCAAGGTAAGCCTCCCACTCAGTCACCTCAGGAACTGGCAGCTTTTAGGCTCTTCCTGGGTCACCCAGCCTGACTACCAATCCATCCCATCCACTCAAACTGAAAGTCGGAAGCATGAGGGCCAATTTTAAATGTTAGGTTCATGGGGCCAGGATTTCTTTCACTTCTGTACATCCTACTCAGTACCTTTGGGGCTTACTTCATTGTAGAAGGTGCAAATAATATCCTAGACATGTGTAAATCAAAAGTTAAAAAGGAGGGAGAAACTTAAAATTACAATCACCAGGAAAGGATACTGAGAAAAATATCTGAATAAAAATCTGACAGATTCCCTGGACTTGATGACCTGCATTTTATAATCTTAAAAGTTGTCACGGTTCAGATAATGGATGGATAGGTGTTAATTTTCCAAAACTTCTGGAAAAGCTCATCAGATTGGAAAGGAAACAATACAAATTCTCCGTTCAAGGCAGGGAGACAGAAAATGGGAAATTACAAGCCATTTAGCACATCTATCATATGGAAAATGCTATTATTAAGAACGACGTAGTCAGACAGAGTCAATATGGTTTTTTGAAAGAGATATTGTGTTTGACTAATTTATTAGTGTTCCTTGAAGAAGTAACAAATAACATAATTAAATGAACATGTGTAAATATGGTGTATTTGGAATTCTAAAAGACATTAGCTAAGGTATCACATCAAAGATTACTACAGAACATGAACGTTCATGGCACTGGTGATACCATAATAGCCTGGATAGAAAGTTAATTAGTTAACAGAAGCAGAATTGCGATAAATAATTGGGTTGGCAAGCTGTAATTAATTAATTAAGTGCTACAGAGATCATGTATTTATTTTCTTATGTAGGCTATTTTTCTAATCAGCTGTTCAGAGATGTTATGACACACCTTTGGAGCAGGTGGGACTTGAACACAGGTCTCTGAGTCCAGGGGTAGGGAAACTTACTACTGTGTCACAAGAGGGCCCTGACCTGAGCTATTTACAATCTCTACTAATGACTTGAATGAAGGGATTGAATAAACGGTTGTGAAATTTGCTGATGACATAAAGATAGAAGAATAGGTTGCGAAGGGGACATGACGAGAGTGAATCATAGAATTCATACAGTGTGGACACAGGCCCTTCAGCACAACAAGTCCACACTGATCCTCAGAGCATCCCACCCAGACCCGTTCCCCATAACCACCTAATCTACACATCCCTCAACACTATGGGTAATTTTCCATGGCCAATCCACCCAGCCTGCACATCTTTGGACAGTGGGAGGAAATCTGAGGACGTGGAGGAAACCCATGCATATGCGGGAAGAATGTGCAAACTCCACACAGACACTAGCCCGACGGTGGAATTGAACCTGGCTCCCTGGGGCTGTAAGGCAGCAGTGCTAACCACTGAGCCACTGTGCCATCCTAGTGCAGGGATTTGCAAAGGTTAAGGCCAAATGTTTGACAGATGAAGAAAACTGTGGAAAAGCATGAACCTGTCCACTTTGGTACATAGAATAGAAAAGCAGTATGCTATTTAAATGGAGAGACTGTAGCATTCTGCAGTAGAGAGGGACCTGGGTGTCCAATACATGAATCACAAAAAGGTGATATGAAGGTACGGGAGGTAATTAGGAAGGCAAATGGAATGATGGCAGCTATTGCAAAGGGAATCAAATATACAAGTAGAGATATTTTGTTACATTTATCCAGGGCATTAATGAGATTATGTTTGGGGTACCAGTACAAGTTTTGGTCTCTTTACTTAAGGAAGAATATATGATTGCATATTCAATTCAGAGAAGGT